TAAGACTTGCTTTGTGTCCTAAAATATGATCTATTTGGTAGAATATTTCATAAGCTGCAGAAAAGAATGTGTGTTGCTTACTTGGTAAGTGAAATACTCTGTAGATATCAACCATGTCTATTTGGTCTAATATGTGGAATAGCTCTGAAGTTTCTTTGTTGATCTTTTGTCTGGATTATCTATCTATTGGTGACAGTGGGGTATTCAGGCCTCCTTCTATCACTGTATTAGTGCCTATCTGTGCTTTCAGGGCCATTATAATTTTTTTTGATGTAGATTGTGCCCTGGTGTTTGGAATATGTTAAGGATTGATATTTCCTGTTGATGTATTGTTCCTTTCATTTTTTATTAAGTGACCTTCATTAATGAAGTGACATTCATTAATATGAATTTTTCTCCTCTGATTTTAGTGTAAATCTACTGTTATCAGATATGAGCATAGCTACTTCTGCTTGTTTATGAGGTCCATTTGATTTGAAAAATTCTTTCAAATCATCCTATTGCATGCACATTTTAAACGTTTTTTAAGAATATAGAAGAACATTTCAAACAATGTTCAGCATATCTGGAGAACAGCACCCAGATTTGAGTTTGTGCATTAACCATGTCTTTATGAAACATACATCCAAAATTGTGTTTGTAAAAGAACAACAGATGATGGCTTCCAGCCTCTTTGAAAATTATCAGTTAGTTCTTCCTTTTCTAACAGAAATCTATGGTATCCAATATACTTACTCATGTAAGAAACAATTCAACAGATACCCTGTTCAATTAGAAGCTAATCTTACATCACATGGCAAGTTTAAGTTAATACACAGAATGAAAACAAGAGATTCCAAAAGTCTTACTGTATCAAAGGCAACTGTGAGAAAACTTGAACTGTTACATCACCAATATTGCTAACATTAGCCAGTAGGTACACTAAAGGATCCCTTGGGTCATACAACAACCTGGGTTTGGGGCAACAGATCCAACAGTCTTCATATTACAGGTACCAGATGCTGATATCTGAAATAAATTTGACTTTTACCATGATCTTTCCACATAAGTGACGTAGACCTGTGCAAGGAGAAATTAGGAAGCATAACAGTCCAATTTGCTGGCCAATCTTCATCCTATAGTCTTGGGAAAACACAAATTTTGATTAATTCTGAGTGGCACAGAATTAAATAATTCAGTGTGTCACTCAAAATTCAGATCAACTTGTCCAATTGCAGTTTATATGCCTTCCAAAATAGAGCAACTCTTGCTCTTGCTCATTCTATGGGAAAACTGAACTTAAGAATCCTACAAGTATTTAGGATGTATCTCAGTCTAAAAGTTGTCAGTAAAGTCTCAGAAAGAAGAGAAATACTGTACTGTTATAACAGGTGAACTACAAATAATGGCATTTGCCCCCACACTGGCCTATTATGGTGTTTATTTGGTCTCAATGCCCCAAGACCATTTGTTTCTGGGTTCTATTTAATGTTTCATCACTTCCTTTCTTTCAAATAATTCCTATCCTTGTCCTTGGTTGTCACACAAGTCAGCTGAAGGGAGATTTTTGTCTAAGACATATCTCTAGAGACGGTGATTTGACTCATGTGGTACAAAATGTAATGTTAATTTAATAAACACCATGCCCCAACCACTCCAGACCCTTCTTTGTGGGCATGGTGACCCAGTTCCAGCAGGAACCATTGTTGATGTATTGATCAGGGAGAGCACAGGTGAGGGATAAGCTCTATGAACATTTAACCAAGCCAGGTCCCAATGTGCTCTCTCTCTCTCTCTCTCTCTCTCTCTGTCTTTCTTTCTTACTCTTTCCTAACTCATTTATATGGGTCAGTTTTTTAAGGTTTCTGATAATTGTATTTTAGTGTTCAAAATTGTACTAAGATATCACGACAATTGTGTATTTTAGTGTTCAAAGCTGAACTAAGATATCACAAGAATTGTGCTTCTGTACTTGAGTATTGGATTTTAAATGTCCTACAAAGGTCCATGTTATAATGTATGGGCCTCACCATGGGACTGTAGGGATGTAGTGGAACTCTTAGAAGTGGTCCCTGCTGGGAGGGGGCTTTCAGGTCATTGAGGAATTGGACTCGAAGAGGATCACAGGACCCAGCAGTCTTTGCTTCTCTCTCTCTGTTCAGGGTCGTGTGGTGAGTGGATTGGCTCTGCAGACAAACACTCCATGTTGATGCAGCACCACAGACACAACATGTGAAGACAACCAAACACAGACAGAAACCTTTAAATGTGAAGGACAAAATAAAACCTTCTTCTTTATAAATTGATTATCTCAGATGATTGAGCTACTAATGGAAAACTTTCCAACACAGTAAAATTCTGTGTCACTCACATAATCCCAAAATGGTAATAAGATTAATGAAATGTGAGATCAGACTGATTTCACATTTCCTGTCCCCAATGTAAGACTTCCAACTTACCTAACACTCTAATTCACTCGTGGATGCAAGCTTATCAGTATCAGATGCCATAACCCTGGCGATTCATGTACACTGAATGGGTAGGATTGGGACACATTAAATCTGTTTATCATCTCGTGAATTTTATTAGTGCAAGTGGATTCTAGCAAATCTTCACTTCAACAAATTTTCTGTTGGCATTTCTGTAAATCCTCATGAATTCTGATCCTCTAAAAGGTGATCCAGTCCACTCTAGAATTTAATGAGGTCAAAGCATCATGATATGGGTTGCTTTGCTGTGAGGATGTGAGCCTGTGCAACAGGTTGCAACTAATCAATGACCCATCTGTCTTAGGCACCAGGCAACCTTCAACTTTAACCTTAAAAACAATATAGAAGTTCACTTCATGACAAGCCACAAGGGACAAGAAAGGGCACATCCTCCACAATATACGGATACACAAAGAAGGGAGCAGAGCTGAGATGTAGCCTGGGATTTTCTGCAGAAAGTACCCAAGGCTGTCTTTCTGTACTATCTGAGCACAGCCACAGGTGGCCATATCAGCAGAATCCAGGCTGGTCATTGTGAGGAGGACAAGGCTATTAGAGATATAATTGCAGGTGGTAGGCTGGCTCTTAAGAGGTGTGTTGCAGTAACAAGTATATATCACCAAATGTGTACTAGCTACTATATGGCCATCACTGCTGGTTGATGTATCCAGCCTACACCCATGTTAGTAGTGGACAGTGAGAAGCCAGAGAAGGAACAGGTCAGCCTGAGAGACTGAGAGGGTGTCAACAGCCCAGGGCCACACTCCTTCAAGGTGACTTGGGACAAGAACACTGTGATGAAACACAAGGAGCAGGTGTAGCATGTTCAGGTGGACAAGAAGCTTTCTTACCTGAGGAAGCCCTGCATAGTTCTTACAGGAAGGGAGAGTCAGTAGCAGTAGTGTGGCACACAGCCTGTCCATTATGGCACAGCAATCATGACCCAAGTTCTGTGCTGGATTTTTCAAGCTAGGAGTGTATGGATGTCAGGGAAATTTTCATTCCTGTCACCTATGTTCTGACCCTAATGGGTGGACTAAGAATTCAGAATCAGGAGGAGACAGGTCTGTAATGAGCTGTATAGGTGCCCCAGGTGAGGGTTCCATGTCTGCTCCTGTCTCTGTGGACCAGTGTCCTCCACACACAATTATTCCTGAATTATTAAATGATTTGGAGACAGTGAGGCTGAGAGGCCCTCGTTGCAGCTAACAGTGTCTTCTCCTTGGATGCTCATTGAGTATCCATTAACCTTGTGTTTTCTTACTAGAGAATTGGAGGAGAGACAAGGAGATGCAATCCTCCTGACTTCAAGCAGCTGAATCATATGTGCCTGGGGGCCATCAGGAGGCTGTTCCTGAGTATACTGTCCTATCTGTGACAAGGAGAAAGAAGGATGAGCAACAGTGAATGGATAATTTTCATTTTCTGTGCAGTCAGGAGCATGCATATCAGTGTCTGCACATGTGTGTAAATCCAGCAGGAAGAGTTCACAGTGACCACACCTGTCCCTGTGCTATCATCCTCAGGACCACAGAGGAAGGCACAAGTGTCTTCCCTCTGCTCAGCCCATGAGGGGAGAAATCTGTAGCAGCTGGATGGACACAGGGGCACAGATGAATGTCCTGGAAACTTCTTCCATAACAAATTTTACTCATTGATCCACAAAACAATGTACATTGCAGACAATTCATTTTCAGGGCAAGGCAAGGAAGCAATTCCAGACTGGCCATTCAGAAAGATTTGATATGCAGAACTTATTCAATTTGAATTAAAATCATCTTCATCTATTGACCTCTTGCCTTCTAACCTGCAGCCTGACATGCCATAAAAATGAATATTCGTTGTCAAGTTGGAATAGTTATAAAATAACCTGTGCAACCTTGTACCCCACCCACAGATTAATGTAAACCCACCAAGCAAATCCTCAAACATGTGACTTCTTTCAGAAGCCCTCACTTTCTCCTGGGGGTTTTCTTTCTTCTACAATAAATTTCACCCTAACTTTTATTTGGGTCACCTGTTTTCTGTAGTTTATCAGTGTTCTAGTCTCTTGTTTGCAAGATGGATCTCCACTCCATACTAACCAGTGATCTCACTGAGACCCAGAGTCTCATGGAAAAACAGTCTCCCATATCCCATGCACCCTGAGATCTCATCCAGGTGACATGTGATATGTGAGGATATCTCTTATATTTTGTTTTTATTTTAGTATTGACATGCATTAAAAATATGAGGGGATATCATTATTCCATACATGCATCCAGTGTTCCTTCAAAAAATTCATCCCCAAATTTTTAAATATCAGCGAAAATCAAAACGTTTTTTACTCACAGAAATCTCACATACAATACACGATAGATCAAGGGAAGACTCTGGGAAAACTATGGACAATGAGGCTGCCTAGACATACTGGAGAACAGCACTTGTCTCATGTCTGTACCTGCTCCTGAGGCTGAAGTAGAGAGCAATGTGTGCTGAGCGACCCCTGCTGGTTCTGAGCATCATTGAGGAGAGGTTTATGTCAGGGCTCACAATGAAGTCTCCTCACTGTGTATCTTGCACAGTAATACATGGCTGTGTCCTCATCTCTCAGGCTGTTCATTTGCAGATACAACATGTTCTTTTCATCATCTCTGGAGATGGTGAATCTGCCTTTCACAGATGCATTGTATTCTGTGGTGTAACTATTTGCTTTGTTTCTAATGAGTGAAACCCACTCCAGTCCCTTCCCTGGAGCCTGGCGGACCCAATCCATGTAGTAATTACTGAAGGTGAATCCAGAGGCTGCACAGGAGATTCTCAATGACCCCCCAGGCTGCACCAAACCTCCTCCAGACTCCACCAGCTTCACCTCACACTGGACACCTGCAAACACACAGAATCCTGGTAAGGAAACAGGAACATACACCCCCATTCCTCTAATTCATTTCCATTCAGGATCTCTTGTTCTCCATAACTCACCTTTTAAAATAACAAGTAGAAAAACCCAGCTCAGCCACAACTCCATGGTTAGTGATCTGTGTTCAGTGAAGTTCACTGAATGGGATCAGCTGAGAAACCAAGGCTGAAGTCCTGACCCAGATCTGCAGGTCAGGGCTGGGATGCTTTATATGGATAGAAGGAAGTCTTATTTGCATGTCCTCTTTCTATATAGCAGACTCTGGGTTGGATGTCAAAGAGAAGCCACTCTTCCTGGCTAATGTGATGTGCTGAATGAAACTAGTAGTCAATGATAACATATAAGAAAGAAATATCTTTATCATGTTTTTCTAGGTGATAATCATGGAATTCTCATTATTTCATCTCAATGTTTATGTGCACATAAGTCATGCATTTTCTTCACATCTTACATTTTACAGACATAAACATAGAATCAGAAGCAGAAAAGAGCTTGGTAATATGCTAAGAGCTCTTATCTGAAAAAAAGTCAACCATTGGGACCTGTAATTCTTCCCACAGTTCTCAGCTACCCCTGAACCAAATCCAGGGCAGAGATGGACATACTTAGTGATGCTGTCCACACCTTTCATCTGTAGAGAACATGATGTGGTTTTCCATCGTCCTGTGCCTCTGTTAACATAGATCAGCAATGAAGTTTCTTTTGAGCATCTACTCAGACTATTTCACATTTTTCTGTTATTTTCTCTCACTCTTTACCTAACAAACCATACTGCTGATTATTGGAATAGCTTTAATGAAAGATAATATACATATTATCTTGCATATGTAAATATGTAGAATATGATAATGATCCACCAAACCATCACTATTACTAAGACACGGAACAGTAATTACCCCCAGTATTTCTTCTTTTTTTTATGCTCTTTCTCTTTTCTACAAATTCCTTTCTTCCACACCATCCCCCAACAACTCCTGATATTCTTTGTGCCAATTTAATTGGTTTTATTGTTATGCAAAGTGTAATAGTGGTGTCAAAGAATATTTACTTTGTTTTGTGTATTATACTAGGACGAAATGCCTGTGAATTTAATCTTGATGTTTGTACTACATATTTATTTATTGTAATGATTGGAATATCTTCAATTAATACATTAAGGGGAATTTGTTTGACAATTTGCCTGCTTTTTGAAAATGCAGGCAGTTGAAATAAATATTATTTTGCATGCAGTGCAACATAGGCTAAATTGGAGAAGCTAGAAATCATCATATTTTCTTCACCACTTCAGATAATGGAAATTATAAGCAAGCAACATAAGTGAATCAAATTAGAAAATCACAATATCTTCAGTTACAGACCTGAAAGGATGGTATTCCTCACCCACAAATACAGGCACATTGTTTTTATAAAATGGAGTGGTGATCAACACTGGCAATTGTGGAACAGTGGATATTGTAAAGTGGAGACAAGGAATCAGGAAAGAAAGGGAGGGGAGACTAGAAAGATCAATCCTCATGGCACTTTATTTGTAAAGAAAGATAAACCAGAGAGGGCTTCCTTACACTCCTTTCCAGTGATAATGCAATCTCCTGTTTCAAGGAAAAGTAGCCTGTTTGGTATAATCTATATCATTAAAGTTTAATTGGGTGACTTTAGGAACTAATTAGTTGATATATTACTTGAATTTCTATTTTGAGTGATCCAAAACCTCTGTTTCTATGTGGAAGTCTGTTCATCCTGAACCAAATGAACATCACTAAATCAACAAGTGTTTTGATTTGCTTGCTTGTGTAGAGGCACAGCACAGGAGCTCATCCTTAAAGTCATATTAGTCAATAATGTATGCTTAATACTTTCGCTGTTTTGGTAAATTTCTGATCGGAGTGAGAGCGTGACTAAACCTAAGGGCATTGGAAATTCTCCCATCAACCTGAGTTTCCAGTCTCAGCACAGTTTTCATGAGTTAGGATATCCTCATTACCTTTCAGTTGTCTTTCTTTTCAAAGAGGGAACACATGAGTTTCAACAGATACTTGAATGGAAATTGTATTTTTATTAGTTTTCTTTTTATTGTTTTTCTAAATTCTATTAGGATAGATCCATTATATGTAGGAGGATTCAGAGTGACAATTGCAATTATCCTTATATTATATATTATTTACATTGCCCCCACATCATGCCCTCTAAGCCTCCTCCCACCTACCTTAAAGCAATTCCAAGAGGTTTTATTTACTTCTGTTATATATATATATGAAGTCCATCAATCATATGCTGTCATCTTAATCTCCACCCTTCACTCTCCCGCTTCTCACTAGTACCATACACTGTGCTTATTTTACAACAGTTTTCCTCAGAGACTGGTATGCAGGAAGTGTTACCCCTTAGAGGGTTCTTGTTGTGGTGCAGATCACCTCTTTTCTCCCCTCAATGAGGGAGCTGATGTTTTACCCTTTCATGGGGAACCAGGGACTCTCCTGCAGTCAGAGGGGGAGTGGTGTGTCTCTGTGCACTGTGGTAGGCAGACCTAATAGCATCTGCAGAGTAGCAGAGTACAACTCAGTGGAGGAGCTAGAATTTGAGCTCCTGGACAGGAGAGATTGAACTCCCCTGCATGTAGGCACAGTGGGATGTGCTGGTCCTCTGTGCAACTTGGGTGGCAGGCCTCCTGACAGCTGCAAAGTAACAGGTTGCCACACAGTTGAGGAGCTGTGATTCCAGCTCTTTGACAGGGAAGATCAAACTCTCCCATAGTCAGGTGTGGTGGGAAGTGCTGGTTCTCTGAGAACCTTGGGATGCAGGTCTTCTGGTCCTATCCACTGAGTAGCATGTTACAGCTTTCCTCCTTTCTTTCGGGTATCTGACTTTTCTTTTCTTTAATGGGAACTCTCCCACTGTCAGCCACAGTGGAAAGCACTGGGCCTCTATGCATTTTGGGGGCAGGCCTCCTGGCAACTGCAGAGTAGTCGAATGTCATTTAGTGAAGGATCTGATAATCCAGGTCTTGTACAGGGGAGATTGGACTCTACTGAAGGCACTCATGGTGGGATATACTGGGCCTGTGTGCTCCTTGGGTATGCGTGTCTTCTTGTGAGGCCCACTGAACAGAAGGCTATAGCTTTTCTCCCCTCCATGGGGAATATAGTTTTCTCTTCTTTAAAGGAGACATGGAGTCATTCCCATCATCAGGCATGGTGGGAAGTGCAGGAACTTTTTGCACCTTACCTCAACAGGTCTCCTGGCACCCAGAATGTGGAAGATTACACTCAGACAGGGATCTGTTTTCTTGCTATTTGAGAGGTAGTAAGGGCATCTTACAGGAGGACTTGCTGGTGATCGTGGGGCCTCCATTCTCTGCAGGGAGGTAAGCCTCTAGGTAGCAGTAGAATAACAATATTTGGACCCTGAGATTCACTTGATGGGTGGAAGAGAGCTCCTATCACTGAGTAAAAAGTTGACAGTGCCTGTGCACAGTAAAGCAGTGGCCTTGAATCTTCTGGTGCCCAAGTCAACAGAGGCCTTGGGTTCTACTCATGGTGGGACATGGGCTTCCAGAAACCATAGCAGGTGCTGCAGATTCCGAAGAACCATGTATTTGGGTAATTGGAGTTCTGTGGCCTGTTTGTTAGGCACAGACTTCCAGGAGACACAGCAGTTGCTGCTGGCATGGAGAGAACAAGCCCCCTGGCTTGTGCCTTCTGTTACACATTGGAATAGTGGGAACCCTGGTGCCTCCTTATGCAGGGGCACGGGTTCCTCTGGTTTTTCAGTGTGAGAGGTAGTAGCTTGTATACCACGGGGAAGAATGGAGTTCTGAGTTCCTGTGTGTGTTGGGATGCCAGACTTACTGTCAAGTGTAGATTAGGGAAGCCATGTGGAGACTTTCTGGGCATGGGATCAGGAGTTTTTACTGTGATTCATTTGTCCTGTTCTTACTATGGTTATTTGTCTTTCTTTTTGTATATTCAGAGATGGCTTTCTTTCTTGCTGGTTACGGTATTTCATGTGTGCCTTTTGAGCTCCCTGATCTTCCATCTTCAGGTTACTTTGTCACTAGTGGTGATCAGTGTCCTGAGCATCTTCTGCTGGATCCTAGTATCTCCAGAAGTCTTGGGTGATCATAAGGGAGCCTTGTGTCTGGACTCACACTGGAGTGATCTCACCGTGTCCCATGGTGTCCTCATCTCTCAGGCTATTCATTTGCAGGCACAGTGTTATTGTCATTCAGAAAATGAACCTGCCTTGCAGGGATGCATTGTATTCTGTGTGCTATTAACTTTGTAGTAAAACCAACCCACTCCCACACAGTTGCTGAAGCCTGATGGACCCAGTATATGTAGTAATCAATGAAGGTGAATCCAGGAGAGTTCACGGACCACCACAGGCTATACCAAGCCTCCCCCAGACTCCATCAGATGTACCTCACACAGCAGCTCTAGTCCTGAAAAATCACAAGGGACCTGTGAAGCAGAATAAAAGAAGCAACAGGAAGACTGGGCAGTGAGACCCTGAGGTGGAGAGGAAACCCCAGAGGATGACAGGAAAGGGTACATCCTCCACACTGTCCTGGTGCACAGAGGAGAGCAGAGCTGAGACCCAGCCTGGATCTTGTGCAGGAGGAACATGACCCTTTGTCTCTGTGGTACCTGAGCAAAGTAACAGGTGGCTGTGTCCATAGGGTCCATGCTGGTCATTATGAGGAACACCTATCTAATGTAGCTGATAGATGGTGATCTGGCATTTCAGGGCTGGGCTGTAGCTCCTAGCATCATTCCATCAAATGTGCCCCAGTCATTCCACGGACTTCCGTGAGGGTGATGGATCCAGCCCACTTCCATGTTAGTGGTCAGTGAGAATTCAGAGAGTATGTAGGGCCACCATGTGGGTTTGTGAGGATGGCCCAGTTCAGTCGCAGATTCCTTCAGTCTGACCTGGCACAGGACTCCTGTACAGAAACACAAGAAGAAGATGAAGCAGGCCCAGGTAAGGTTGAAGACTTTGACCCTGGGCAAGCTCTGCAGAGCTCTCACAGGCAGAGTCAGCTGCAGGAGCTTAGAACTCAGCCTGTCCCCTCACAGGCAGAGTCAGCTGCAGGAGCTTAGAACTCAGCCTGTCCGTGGTGGCACAGCAGTCACAACCAAGGCTCTGTGCTGGGCTTTTCAACCCAGGAGTGGGTCA